GTCTGCTTTCTCGTCCTAAGCGAGTCGAGGTATAGCCTCCTCGCCTCGGCGTTGTGATTCTGGAGAACATGGTGGTGGGCAGCTACGTCGTCTACAAGATAAGCCACATTCTTATGCAATAACGCTTCAGCTTCCTCAGGCCGGAGTTCGATTGGAAGACCGAGAAAGATGTTCTGAGTCGGTTGCTGAGGCGCGGTTCCGGCTAGTGTGCCGTTGATATTCTCATTCCGACGCAAGAAAGCAGCAGCCTCAGAATCGAAGATGAGATATCGCCCGGCGATCTTGGATATTCGAACAGAGGCTGGGTCGAGAGAGGCCATAATATCTATGGAAGCGTTGCGAGTTAGCAGGCGCGTCGTCGGGAGTACAGCGAGCAGAAGCAAGTGTGAAAAGGACAACATCATAAGTCGTCTTCGTAATTTTATTGTGTGTCGTCACAGAAAATCAGGGGATTGACAGATTAATAAGTGTATAATCATTGTGTCCGAGTTGCGTGGATGAATTGCGAGAGAAATAAAGATTGATTTTGACATACCTTTTGTGATTGTTGATGTTGATCGGAAGAAAGAAGAGAAGAGAGATTGAGAGCTTGGAGCTGCTTTTAGGTGATAAAATTTTTAGGCGAGTGGGGTAAGGTAGGGAGGAAAAGATAAGATAAGGCTCCTGACCTTGAGACTCTAAGGCAGAGCCCTTCATAAAAGCAGGTGAACCATCAGATTACCTTGTCTTCAAAAGTCCAAGGTCTCCTTCTTGTGATCATTAGGTTTGGAAGCTTTGTTTGGCTCTTCCTCATCTCCGATCGGTGGTAGACTGAAGGGTGTAATTACCAACCCACTGGAACTGCTCAGCTTGAAAGACAGGTTTTCCCTGTTCCAGGAACCTTCCAGACCGCCGCCCTTTTCGTGGAACACAGGTAAGCTAAGGGCACGTAGTAGTCCTTGTCCCTTGTCTTCGTTTCCGGGCTCCCGCACAACCGGAGCTTGGTGTTGCAGAGGAATCAACTCGAGAACTCCATCGGATAGTAACTCCATCCACCTCGTTAGTCCGGTAGATCGAGGGAACAAAGTGACTGGGATTGTCACAAATGCCGTAAGTTGGGTGGAGTACTGCCGGAGGAGTGCTCTCAAAGCATGGAGGAACTTGAGGACCTCATTGGGTTGACTGGCAGCAGAATTATACAGTGTAGGCGAGAGGAGGCCGGGAACCACGATCCGATGAACTGTAGAAGGTGGCGAGCTCTTGATTCTGGATGTCACATCGGCAATAAACTTGCAGAACGGCGTGTTTGTTGGCGATGCCATGGGACCTTGCACTGTGGTTGTGTGCAGCTGACCCTTGATGGCACTGTTTTCAAGACGCTTGGTCAGGTCGAAGCTATGACAGAAGGTGCTCGGTGTCTGTCCGGGAGTTGTTGGTGCTTGGGCATCTACAATAAGTCGCAGGTCAGCATTAGGCCCTTGTGGGAAGCGCACAGAGCATACCTCTGACTGGGACGTTGCGCTGTCCGAGTGTCTCGTAGCGCCAAGCAATCTTCATCTTTTCGTCTGATGATGAGGTTGGCTTGCTGCTCTTCTTAGAGCCATCAGGGCTGCCGAGACCAGGAAGCTCTCTTCTCCAAGCATCGCCAAACCCCAAGAGGTGAACTTGATGTCCTTGGGCGAGTCCTTCGGCGGCATAGTATCGTAACAGTACTCCTCCAAAGTCTGTAGTTCCTGTCTCTTCAACGAGCAATGAAGTTCCCATTGGCATTCCGGCATGACCTGACAAGAGCTGATCCAAAGACTGCGTGCCTGTAGAGGTAGTCAAGCGTCCATCTAACGGAGATGGTCTTGTTCCGGGTGCAAGAGACTTCTCTTGCCGAATGATGGGAGATGAAGACCCGGCAGCTCCAATGACGACATTGCGCTTGCGAAAAGACATTGTCTCTGTCTTTCGTGTGCGAGTAGTTGTAGTTTTCTTTCTCCTCTGTTCAGCAGATGGATAGTCCTCCGAGAAGCTGAATGTAAGGTAAGTGCCTACTGTACCTTGAGAACTCAGTACCTTGGGTTGTTGTGTGAGGTGTGCCCCACCTACCTAGGTACAGTAGGTATCCACCACCTTTTTCCGAGCCGCATCCAAACATTTTCTCTTCTTTGAACGACAACGCGAAAATCTTAACGATCGATACAAAGCACTCACTCTTCTTCCCTCAAGACATCCCACCCGTTCTTCCTCATTCTTCTCGACTGCCCAATATGGCGAGCGGCGACGCTACTCTGTTCGAAGAATCTTTCACTGTGACTGAGTATGATCAGTCCAAGTATGACCGTGTCGCCCGCATTTCGTGCACTTCAAGCGACTCTCAGACTGTTATGACTCTAGATATCAACATCGAGCTCTTCCCCTGTGCTGTTTCCGACACTCTGCACGTAGTTTTGTCTACTACTCTCTCTCTGGACGGAAGCAAGGAGGACGAGAAGGGCTGGCGAGACGTCGGCAAAGGTGGTGATGCGCCAGCGACAGCCGCCGACCTTTATGACTACGTGTGCCATGGAAAGATCTACAAGTTCGAGGAAACATTCGATGGAAATACCATGTGCGTCTCTTACATGAAGCCCCCTTGTCACCGAGTCTGGAACATCCATGTTTGCTGACTGAATCTGACCTACAGCAATGCCTACTGCTCTTTCGGCGGTCTTCTTATGTCGCTTCAAGGCCCTATCAAGAAACTGACACCCCTCCGTGTCGACAACGTGTACCTTCTCGTCAAGAAATAAGCAGAAGCGCCAAAACTTGTACACCACTATAAGGCTTTTGTGTTACCACTAGCTCCAGGCCACATTAATGATACCCATGCGAAAACCGCCATGTTGGCCCCCAATGATTCTCAAAGTCCAAGACTCTATCTCGCCTCTGTGAGCCTGGTCTATCGAAATCACAACGAGCGCCAATTGCTTTGATGCGGACCTGGGAAAGGAATGTCGCGGCGCATTCTCCGCTTGATCTGCTCAATCTCGGGCTCGTTTCCGTCAGTGAGAATTCCATGACGAATGAAAAAGTCGAGGGTGACGAGGGCACAATTGGACTTGAATCGACCCTTGGCGAGATCTACCTTGACTTGATCAACGTCGCAGAGGTCAAATTTCTCTGCCTCACCATCTTTGGGTTGAGGGATCACATCGTTGGGAAGCTCGAGATCGTATAGCCACTGGCACTCAGGATAAATGAAGTCGCCTTCGCCAACCTGTCCCTCGTCCGTGATGTAAATGTATGTGACATTGCCGACGAACTTGGCACCCTTGCGAACGATATCACCAGGAAGACTGGCTTCCTCGTCAGCCTCGCGAATGACGCATTCGAAGGGGTCCTCTCCTGTCATCAAACCACCTGCCACGGTATTATCAAGCATGCCGGGAAAGGTTGCCTTGTTCTGAGCACGCGTAGGGACCCAGAGGCGAATGCCGTGAGGTGCAGCCTCATCCTTGACATACGCGATCATGTGAACGCCGTAACGCACCGTGCCGAGCAAGCCTATCGCAGTTCGTTCCATGCTGAACAATAGCTCGCCACTACGTCCATATACAGGCCAGAGTTCGTCGCGCCAGCGACGGAGAAGAGGGAATGTCCCATTCTTCCGCCAATAGTCGGCCAGGGTCGCTGCGCGACGAGTACGTTGTTCCTCCGTAGGTTCCTGAAAGAGCACAATAGTTTTCTTCTCGTCATCGCATTCCATCTCTCCCCTGGCCTCTTCAGGAACCCGGTGCAGCTCTCTGACCACACGGTCTAGGATGTACCCAATAGGGTATGTGCCTTGGCTATCTCTCCACACCAGAGTATAGAGCCCGGCATTCATTTTGGTGAAGGCATCGGGATCAGTCTCGGCATACGGGAACCTTGAGAGATGAGTTACACTTGTAGGTATGAGAATGGTAGGAATTTGGAATCATACATGTCGACTTCATCGATGAGATCGATGCTTGTTTTGGCCATTTTGATACAGGGAAGGACGGATGCTTGAACTGTTGTGTTGGTGGGATATCCTTGGTTCGTATCTGATCTGATATCGTATATGCTTAAATAGATAGGTACTTACCTAAGTACGGTAGGTTAGTAGGTAGACGATGAAGTCAATATTGAGTAACCAGGGTACCGACTGTTTGGCAGTAGAAGGTTGATGCAGTTGCGGGCTTTTCCCAAAGTTGCCCGGTTTATATGCGAATTTGACAGAGTAAGCACCTGCGCTCGAAATGTACTACTATATGCTCTTCGGGAGTGATTAGATAGTGTATCTGTCCGGATGTGATTTGAGGCTCTGGCTGTTGTCTGTCTGGTTTTCTCGGTGAAGCTACATCAGGAAATAAGGACGAGATACTGGCGACATCCAATGTTGGTAGCCCCACGCCCCTCGGTGAGACCAAGTTAGTAACTTATTACATACGCTCTCCATGAATCTCCTAACTTTGGCTCTAGACATACCTTCAAAGACTCCAGAAAGTTGAGGGATACATTTCCTTGTACCTTCAGTCTCGTATAGTATAGCCGAATTCTCAATGTTTCTGTCGCCCTACTGACCTACCTCCACTACCTACTATGGTATGGGTATTGGAACATCGAGGGTCGACTTGGCATGCAACCCTGCCTATACCTACCCTAAAGACCCCTGTGGGGAACCCTAGGGGTTTGTCTACCATATGAGGTCACCGTTGATCGGGTCCATTCCATTGCTATCCTTACGGTACTCCGTAGGTACTCAGTCAAAATTCCACTTGTTTCTAGATTACCCTCGAAACACCCACCAATCGTTTCACACTACCTAGACTACCTTACCTTACCTTGCCTTACTCCGTACCAGCCAGCGAAACGACGACAAAGGACCCTTATTATACACACAACTCACCACAGCCTTCCCCTTCTATCCCTGGTCAGGATAAAACATTCCTTTATCATATGATTGATCGATCGATCTCAAGATCCCCTATACCTTACTCATCCCGATACTACTCCGTAGTGCCACCATATCAATGTCAAGCCCACTCTTTGGCATCGTCCCTGCGGGCCAACCGCTCATCACAGAACCTTCTTCAACCCCCTCGGCAACCTCACTCCTCTACGCTCTCCCCACCACAAAACACTTCTCACATATTGTTGTTTTTATGTTACCAGGCATAAGTCTCCCGCCCAACACCGCTGCAGCAATCTACCTAGCAACTGCCGCCGATGTCGCAGCAGCAGCTCAGTCAGGTGGCACACCCAACTTCCGCTTTCTTGGAGGTATAGGCCCTGGAAAGGAGAGCGCCATGTTCAAGGTCAGCGGGGGAGGAGAGGCCAGCGATTTAGTGATTGGTATATCAGTTGAGCCAGAAGTGTCTGTTGGCCAGCGCTTGCAAGAACTCGCTGCCACCAAGTCTGCCAACTCATCAGGCGGCCAGCCCAGTACGGCTATACTCGCACAACGCATCATCCAGAACGCATTCAATTTTTTATCGAGCTTCAGCGGTACAGCAGGACCTGGTGGTGTTGAGGTTGTGCCGCTCAAAGCCTTTGAAAACTGGTGGCGCAAGTTTGAATCAAGAGTTCGGGCAGATCCTAGTTTCCTGGAGAAGCAGTCAGATTAGTGTTGGCTTATAAGCATCTGGATATGCCCGATCAAAGCTTCAAGGTGTATAATATTCGGGCAGGGAGTGAATATATTCAAGGGCGAAAAGGCGAGTCTGGCTGGTATGGTATTTATGGGGGCGGGCATCATAGCAATAAACCAACAGACAAAAGTGCCTGCTTGAGCGACTGACAAAATTGATTAATTGAATACCAATTCGCACAACTGAGCGTACGTCCCTACCGAGAAACAACATCGCTGTGAAACACTTCCAGAAGCTCCAGACAAATAACGTAGTGCGATATCCAAGAGAGACCCCGATTTCGTCCCCAAACTCAACCAACAGATCAACAATTGCCAAGACTCTGTTTTATGGTACAACTTATGCGTTCTTTTGAACGCCATATCTTAATGCTCCTCCAGTTCCACCAAACTCCCTGGCGCCGTGATGTTGCTCCCCCCGAATAAAAAATACCAGATGAATATAAATTTCGCATCAATGTGTCCTCATGAATCATATCGAAGCGCTCAATCTTCCCGTACAGGCGACATGAATGGACTCTTCGCACGAGTTGGGCTGCCGTTGCGGCTCTTTCGGCCAGCACTCAACAGTGAGGGCGATAGCCGTTCTCGACTTTCAGTCCGCACTACAAGTCCGGCACGATCCATTGCTGATGGAGGGCGAGTGAGTTCGTCCGCGCGACCTGCAGAGATACTAGGTGTTGCCAGACCCGATGCTCGTCCCTTTCGCGAACCATTACTACTGCTGTCCGAATGGTCATGTTCATCCGAATCGACATCGCCCAACTCAAAATCAGAGAAGTCACCCTCCTCCATTACTCTCTCATAAGATGGCCCCGAGTTTCGCCCGAAGAGTTTGTGGACAAGAGAGGAGCCGCGGCCTGGTTTCCCTGATCGCTTTCGCCGGCTAATCATGCTGAATATCTTTCTTCTTCGCTCAGGCTTGCGGAGCAAATAGGCGACCAACAGAATTATCAGAACAAATGCGACGAGTCCACCAGTTGATTTCCCAGGCTTTTTCAGAAGATCGTCCAGGTCGTCGTCGTCGTCGTCGTCGTCCCCTGTGTGGGGTGCGATAGGTGAAGAGCCGGCGTACTCAAAATCTTTCGCTATCCCCTTGTCCACATTGCTTCCAAAGCCGACAGGCAGCTCAGAACCGGACGGAGGGACTTGTCCGGCAGCGTATAGGACCATTTTCCCCAAAGTCCAGCTTAATTCGATACCGTCGATTGTGTCCACCGGCCTGAAAGGGTCGTTAAATGACTTCTCACCATCGTCCTTAACAGTGTCGTTGGCTGCACCGCCTTCGAGACCAACACGAGGGATGCCAATTCCGTCGTACAGCATATTAATCAGCCATGAGGCCTTAAAACAAGCCAAACGGGCTTCGGCTGCCTTCTTTTCTGGTGATTTCTTGCGTTTATCAAGATCTCCCTCGATGTCCGACCAATCGCGGCTGCAGAATTCCATGACATTGTTTTGGTATGTCGCCAGATCGTAAGCCTTGTGTTTTCCGCCAAAGACGCCATGAGTTGTATGCCAATATTCTGAAACACCAACAAAGTGATTAATGTCGAAGTCGATACCTGGTACATGCTGGCCGTTGACAAGGCAGGGCTGATCTTCGCATGGCTTGTCTTTGCCCAGCAGAGGATAGGTTACCGTCAAACATTCGTCGAACTTTCCAGTACCAACCAAAACTGTCTTATCCGACCTTGATTCAACAAGTTCACCGTCCAGAGTAGTTCGCAAGCCACGAGGCATGCAGGGGTCAGGCAGCTCGTGGGTAGAGTCAGTATTGTAATGTTCTTGTAGACGTTCGACATAACGGCTGCGGGCTTGATTGGCACCGAATCCGAGCCAGGTTGCGGTGAAGACTTTGTATTCCGATGGTGATCCGTCAAGTGTTCGCATGCGCACAATCTTCAGATCATCCGCATGCTTTGCGGACTCAGTTGCATTTGGAGCAAAGGCAATCTGAGCAGATGCGCCACCCATATCGAGGAAGCCATAGGTGTGATGATTCTTGCCATGGTCGTGCTCCTCAGGGTGATCGAAGCCGCCCAACAAATAATTCGCCGCTATCCAGCCGTACAGACCCTCGGTTTCGCCAGAGATAACCTGAATATGGGCATCGCAATCCGGAAGAATGAATTTCGTATTCGACTGCAAGTACGTGCACATTGATTTGAGGAGTGCCGACTGCTGAGGCTTTGGTAGCAATCGCATGCCGGCCGTTGCCATGAGGTAAACGGGAGTATCGGAAATCTTGCTGTCGGGGACTTCGTCGAGAGCGATATCGATCAGCTGCTGTAGGTGATCGGGGCCGATTTGCGCAGGCTTCTCTGCAAAACTCGACACTCCAGGATGGATCTTCTTGTTTTCCTTGAGCTTAATCTTGGGGAGAGACCTGAGCTCGGCAGCCGATGCATCTTTGGTAGCTTTGGCGTGATTCTTCCACTTGTAGATGTATACTCGAGTTCCTGAGGAACCAGCGTCAAGAATGACGCCATACTGTGCTGTATGGGACACAACTGTTAGTCAAAGTTTACCAGCGAGAAGGCGAATACCGACATGATTTACCCATTAGGGTAGAAGATTGGGTTGTTTAGTTCTGACAGGTGCAACAGCGACGATACGGACCGATCAAATTAGATATGAGTTGGCGTAACTTGTTTGGTCGTCGCGAATGTTCTTCTTGATAAGTATACCGCAATCGGATTTGGACGAGCTGTTCCAACTGTTATGCGATGGTTTGTGATGTTGCGATACGCTCGATACGGGGTAGATCCCCAATTGAGCGAAGTTGATGATATTTCGACTTTGACGATAGCGAGAGCGTCGAGAAGACCAAACGAGATTAAACTAGAGGCCGGCCCCCGAAAGGATATCGTTGAATAGGTCTAATTTAGGAAGTGAAGCGAGTGTCGAGCATCATCCGGATGCGTAAGCGAGTGGAAGTTGCAGGTATAAAGTTGCAAACAAGAGTCGTACTTGTAGGAAGATTCCAACAAGGACCGGGACGAAGAAGTGATCAAGGCCAAAAGAGGGTTAGCGAAGATGAAGTTTGACAAGGATTCGACGAAGACACGAGACGGGAAGTGGATTTGGTCTCGAATTGATTGGACCAAGATAGTGCATACGGCGCAGTGCAGTGCAGTAGGACAGGACAGGACAGCTGGTGATTCAAGATAAGGAAGGCTGCTGTTGATAAGATGATAAGGAGGGAAATGGAAGGGACGAAAACAGAACCACAGGGGGCATTGCTTCGATTCTGTTGGCTCGCTCGCTGGAATGGATTCTGTACGCATACATGCAGTATGCGGAATGGCGTCAGCAATGCATACCTACCTCCCACCTTATTAGGTACCTTACGCGGCCATGCCATTGAAACTTTAAGCTTTGCATCACGTGAAAGTCTAAGAATAGATATACCCTAGACAGTGAGATGAGCCAGATCTGATACGAACATTGTCGTAAATTGATTGATCACACTCACTCACTTATAGTGTCGTTCGATGGACCGGATGGTATCCCTGGACCATAGTTTATCTTAGGGGAAATATTCATTTATTCCAATGTATCGTCTTTATTCGCATTCGGTCATTGTAATCTACATACTGTCTTGCCCGGGAAACTCGAAAGACACCCCTATCTGTCACATACAACTAGACAACCACTTGTTGGAGACAAGAAACAGGATGAAACGAAAAAAAGGTAGAAGCCAATATATGAATGATCCGGGGTGATGAATAAACCGCAAAAATCCCAACCTACCTAAACAATATAGGTACCTCGATGTTAAGAACGATCCGCTTCAGCATAGCCCAGCTAACTTAATTAAATGTCACCATCCTCCAGCCTTACCACCGCAGAAGTCTTGTTCTGCAGTCCCATGTCCTTGTTGTACTGCTCACGAAGCCCAGGGTACTTTCTTTCGTACCACTGAACGCGGGCTTGCAGCCACAGCATGGTCGTTTGAAGTCCCCTCAATACCTGCAGCAGGGGAACAGGTTCTTGTAGAATTGGACTCCAATACTCCCATTCATGTGTCTGGCAGTACAGCTTGAAGGCAAACTCTTTCGCTTCGAGTATTTGGCGCTCTAGCTCCGTTCTGATTTCCGTTAGCTGTTCGCAATCTCTCCGGATCGTCTGTATGCGTGTCTCGTGACGAAGAATTTCAGCATCATCTTGGACGACATGACTTGGACCTAGAGGAATACAAGGTTCACCCGATAGTATCTTGAGATCCCTCTCATGTTCAACAATTCCGTCTCTCTGTTCATGAGGTGTGTCTTTGTGCTGGTGACCAGAGTCCATCGCATGATCGCGTATAGGGTCAGAAATAATAATGAACTTGCCGCTCTCTCCGGGTGGATGAGAGTCGTCAGTGGCAGGAACTGGGCGAGAGCCAGGAGTTTCATGTCGCTGCGCTGACTGACTTCGCTCAAGTCTCGCCCGGGAATATGTATGTCTGTTGTCACCTGGTAGCTCCGCTAGTAAAGGGGGAAGCCGTTGCAGTTCCATGGCGGGACGTGATATAATGTTTGGAGGCGAAACCGTACCTTGAATTTTGGTTTGTTCAACGAGATACTGTGCCCGTAGACTCTGAGGTCTAGCCCCAATCCTTCTTAGCTTATGCCATCCCCTAGTCTTTTCCCTGATGCGCGCGAATATTTGCACAGGTTTACCACCGTCTCCCGAACCTGATGGCTCAGATGACGGCAAACCTAGTGCCGCTTGGGTATGCCATTTAATTTTAGCGATGAAGCTGTCTTGCATGTTTGATCGCCTGTTGGAAAAGTATGTGATGTTCGAAATAAGTGCTGCTCTCCTATGGAGAAGAGAAGATCGAGTTTAGAATGCTGTGGAAACTGCTGCTTTTAATGTCTACGATTCAGTCACCACATACAAGAAAACGCATATATGTTTTCTCAACGGTCACTGTGTTCCCATCAAAGCCATTGATTGAATAAATTATCTATCAGTGTGAACAAAGCGCCAGACCAGAACACTATTGAGCAGATGAAAAGCAAAACCACTATTGAATTTCCCCTCCTTTGTTCTGAAGCATCAAATATCTATCGCTAATGCCGGTCTTGCGAACAAAGCGACAGAATATAGCGCAACAAGCTTGATGCACTGAAGACGGCCACTTTCTTAATGTTCTGTTCATTTCATAGATGCCTCGAAGGCATATCTAATGCTGGCGGGTTATTGGCTTGGCTGACTTTGATGCCGGATGTTAGTCCAACACCTGCCAGACTACCCCGATGATGACTGAAACCTGGAGCAAACGTGTTTGTAGACTGCCTTGTACCGCCAAAACCAGGAATCGGGGTTCCTGCGAGAGTTGGCAATGTCGTCGTTTGATGTACGGATGTTGTGTTGATGCCAGATCGACGGAGGCCACCAACAGGGGCTTCTGATGTATCGCCTGTCATACGTTAGCAAGTACCGTATGTGGGTGAAATGAAGATGCTCACGATGGGATGAGCCTCCCAGTCGTGGCCAATGGTTTCCTTCTCTTGTCATATTTGTATAGTTTCGTGAGAGGCCGGTGTTCATTCCCGAGATATCGATGCGATGACTCTGGCTGAAGGCTGGCGGAGGGACAATTTCAGCATGTATTTGTGTGGGTAAGTTCACTTCATAGCCCGAGTCCATCTGGTTTGTTTGTAAAGTTGAGTCAACAGCATCCGATGCTGCCCTCTGAATCTGACCGAGCTCAGCCTTTCTCTTGACTTTGTCGTAGAGTTCTTGTAACTGCAGGACCTTACGACTTTTGTCTTTGTAAGCCCGAGAGATTTCGTCATTCTTGCGCCGCAGAGCATCTTGTTCTGCTGCCAGACCTGCTCTGTGTCAGCTGAATAGGTGCGAATTTGGGAGAAGTAGAGCACTAACTTGACAACTTATGGTGAAGACCTTCGATCTCCGAATTAGCGTCGTTTACGGTCTTTTCAAGGCGGACGCTGAGGTTTGAGTACTTGTCGGTCAGGGTTTTGTATAAATACTGCTGGTAATAGATGTCTTGGGTGGTCTGGTAAGCCCAGAAGCTGAGAGCGCGGCCGGCACATTCCATGATAACGTTGGGGCTCAGTCCGCTTAGAACACTGGTCTTGTAGTCTTCACTTGGACTCAGGTTCGTAATCACGGCGTCGTCCGGATTGGTTAGTTGAGAGTGGCAGGCAGGGCATGTGTTGCGGCGATCAGCTTCCTGTCCGTTGACACCGAGTCGCTGGGCGCATTCGATGCAGAAGATATGGCTATTAATCTTGGTGTCAGAGCATCGCAGGCTTCTGGCTTCTGAATGAAATATGCTTACCTGCATGTCGTCACAAGTGCACGTTCGCTCAGCTCTCTTCGACATTTGAGGTTATTGCATGTGAGTGCATGCTCCATGTCTACTACTCTTTGATTCTGCGCCCGCGTCACGCAAACGAATCGTGCCCAAGAATGGTTGTTTTCTGATGAAAGGGGATGGTTTGCAAATCATCTTGAGGATAGGTTCGTCATGGTTGATGCCAACAGACGTGGGAAGGAGGAGCACCGCGATAATGCCTTCCAGATTTGGAACTTCAAGTTTGCTTACCTAAAGGCACTAAGGTACCTACCTATAGGTATAGTACCTTAGTACCATAGGTGCACTTCAATGGAAATCACCTCGACGGTGGATTGGAGAGATGGAAGCTAACACAGAGACAGTACCTGAGGTAGGTAGGTAGGTAAGCCAAGGGACCTTAGGTACTAAGGTAAGGTACTCAGACATCAAGAGATATGTAACTATGTGTTTGTATATAGATACTACCTAAGAGAGGCAAAGCAAAGCGCACCTACCTAAGGTAGGTGGGTAGGTAGGTAGTCATACTGTAGATAGTAGGTACCTAAAGTAAAGCGAAACAACGTAAAGCAAGTAAAGGGTCGTGACCTCGTTTCATTGTCGTAAGCTGTGATCCGGCCAGGGAGACGACCTGCGTCCCCGGGGGTGCATGGTGCCCCTATACCCACTCAGAGTCGGGAATCGCATGTAAAAATACATAGAGAAAGGTTACATTTTCGTCATCTCATTTCAAGCGAGCCGTAGATTCCACGCTCATCCTCATACATCGAGTGTTGCATCGGAGTGACCAAGTCATGGCCATATGGCTGACCCTCCATCATAGATGGCACAGGCGCCGAGCTCCATTGCCGTGAGCTATAGTCCCACCAGGTTTGTTGTGTGAGATAGCCGGATCCATCATTGGTTTCAAGCTGTTCGGTGGGTATCTCAAATTCGAGCTCTCCAATGAGCGAGTCGAGGTCAGCCTCGAGAGAAGACTGAAGTTCCAGGAGAGAGTCTGATGGGACCAGGGATGTGTCTGGCTTGGGGAATGATGATTCGAGAGGTGGTGATGGAAGAGGATCTCCAAGTGTACATTGTGATTGAGCCAGGAGGTTGATAAGTTCCTGTTTGTCCATGGTCCGCAGGGCAGAAACGTCATGGTTTGGGTAAAGGCGCCGAAGCACTGACCGACATTCCTCGAGAGATTGTGCCAAGCTATCCAGAGCCCTGGAGGACAGTTAGCCCAAGAGGTCTTCAGTTTTTGACATGTCACTTACTTTCTGGACGGAATCATTCGCTGGCGATGTTTATCGTAAGAGCAGCTCTTTGGAGCTCGGCTGGTGATGCATTGGCCGCATGGCAGCTTGCCATCGCACCGGATCTTTCTTCGTTTGCACTCGGTACAGGCATGGGGAGTTGTTATACGCCGAGTGCCGGCGACTCTGGGTCTTGCACTGCTGGAAGCAGCGGGCTGCTTTTTGGGAATGATGCCCTGGACTTTGATGCTGTCAGGATATGAAGACGACAATGATGATGGGTTGAGGTTGACTTACAGGTGTGAAAGGAGCCACCAGCGGCAACCTTTGTACTTGAAGGAGACATGTTAACAAGGAGTTGACAGCGCTAGTCAGGAAGATAATCCTATTGTGCAAGCCACGAAGAGAAAGGGCCCCCAATCTTTGATCTGTGTAAGGCTGGACACCACACTTATTAAGTAGTGCTGTTAGTGAAGCAGGTCTGCCAAGGACTTTAAAGTAGCGGCGACGATGTTACGGTCGAGCCGGCGCCACCCCTAGCAGATAATGCGGAGAAGTAACGCTGCTAGACGTACGGGAATGGATCGTGGGGAACAGGAGAGCAGGGTCCTCATTCGTGGGATGATGCAAGTCCTTGAAAAAGGACGCATGAAGAGGGACGATCCAGAGCGTATGGGGTAGCGTAGCATAAGACGACACGACACGACACAGCACTACGGATACGCAGCAGACGACCGACTGGTTTTTGCCCGGAGAGATGAGAGGGGGGCGGCTATGACATTTGACTATGCCCAAGTAATGGGACGTGAAATTAAAAGCAGGTTAAGCTCAGGGTCCTGTTTGTTGACGATTGTGTTCGGGCATGGCGACCCATTTGGAAATGCCTGCAGAGGAGATTTGCTCAGAGTAGGACGAGACAGGACGTGATCTGCTGGGTCACCTCCACGACAGATCAGTTTCTGCGCGTCATTTCGTGTATTGTACCCGAGGTTAATTAGACGCTTCTGCATTGCATCGAGACTGGCCAAAGACAGACAGCACCGGCAATATCTGTATCCGTACGAATACACGAATACCCTCAAGGCATCATACCAACAATCGCAATGAGGTAGGGCAGGACAGGGCAAGGCTCAAGCAAGGCATGGTGATGTGAGGTGACGATTCAGGAGTACCTGCAGTTCCAGAGTCGAGTCCAGCCCAGCCGAGCCCAACGCTATCCCCTCACCATTGCAAGCCAATCCAACCCAACCCAGCCCTTAATGACGGGCATATTGGCTTGGGCGGGCCGAAGCATTCACGGCAGTCGGCTGATGGCTGCAACGGAGGAGAAGGAGGAGGAGTACTAACTAGCAGCAGCAGCAGCAGAGTCCAAGCTTGTAAGCAAGATCTCCTAGAGGCCTCGGCGTTGCGGTAGGTCCCTTATTCCCGAAGAGTAACAGTAACAGTAGCATCGCCTCGCATCCATCACACGGCGGTCCCTCGTCATGCTTCTTCAACATCGGCGGCCCCATGCAAGTCCAAGTCCAAGTCCAAGTCCAAGGCCAAGTCCAGGACGGGACAGGATGACTGTGGTGGCTTAATGCGACAGGCAACAGGGCAGTAAAAGGCCACGAGATGAAGGGGCCAAATGCATGCATCCAAGTGTGCATGTATGTATGTAGTTCGAGCCGCCGCCGATTGCTGTCCTATCACGTTTATCCATGCCCTGGCCCCCTGGTCGATTTGCATTTATCCAGGAACCACATCTCAAGCTTCCTATTTCGGACTTAGCAATTTTATGGTTAAGTTGACAAGTTACGGGGTATTCCTGGGGAAGAGACTCAATCGATGAACCAACATTCACTGAATGATCTGCTTTGACTGTACAATTGAGGCGTACGTCCCTATGTCCCTACGTGTTGGGTTGACAAGCGAGATCGTGTACTACATAGAGTGGATTACATCCATACCTACATGTTGGCTCGTATATGTATGAGATCTATCTACCTATCTATCATCTGTCTATATGCCAGATCGTCCGTCAATCCTTGAGCGCTCACATCACAACACAAGACAATAGAAAAAAACAAAAAAATAAAAAAAAAAAAAAAGTAAGGATAATGTCGAATGTAATTCCGCTCTCCCTGACGAATTTTCCGTCAAGCGCTATATCATGCAGGTATTCATCCGATGTTACCACTCGCCTCCCCATTGACCTTAGTCTTGCCTCAGTAATTAACCACATCACACATCACCTTGCTTGCTTTCACCAACTAGAACAAAAGCGCGCACTTCACGCACCGCACGCACGCACGCACACACACACACACACACACACACACACACACAAGCACACACGCAGGCACAAGCAAATCAAAGCAATTCAAGCAAGGCAAGCGATTCGTTCACATGGACAACCTCCGAGGATGGGACACCCAACTTCTCCAAGGCACCGACTGACCGACCTAGCACATAACAGAACAGAACAGAAACGCATGCACGCACTCTTGTCAAAAATGAGCCTCGCATAGCGCGTGTGATCATTAATCGACCCATCGGAGACTTCTTTCATACCACTCACAGAACTCTGGTTAATATGTACTCCCTCTACTAGTACCAAGGGTCTGGGATCCTCGGCCCGTTTCTCTGAATCCCCTCCAGCTCCACGACTTCTACCCCGGGTTTTCCCCTCCAAGCCCTCCAACTGTTTCGGACCCTGGTTACCTTTCAGGGAAGGTGACCGTGATCCGGCTGGATAATAACTTACTCCTGATACCGAACTCCGTGTCCACTGCTCGTCACGCTCCACGAGACTCTCGGAGACTCCCTCGATCTGATCCCTTCAGAGAGAGGCCCGCTCACTGCTCTCCTCAGTTTACAAAGACCTGGGGTCCCCGGCGCCAAGATTCATCCACTTCAGAATGAGCCGGCCTGATTTACCGACCATGCTCCCACGTGAGTTGGCTATCGGAACACTCTGGCAGGCCCTCGCCCGCTGTCCTCAGCCTCTGCCCCCTCCGGCCGGATGGGTCTGACTGTAACGAGCTATTCCAGACAGCTTCGTGATTCTACCCTCATCTAATCCATCGATATGTACGGATACGTCTGTCTGTCTCCTGTATGCATGCGCTGGACACTTCAAAGCCACGCCTGAGATTCCAGGTCGAGCGGCCAGTCGGAGCGTAAACCCGTGGTTACCATCATGCCCGGATTCAACATCAGACATTGTCTCTATCAAGAATAAACTCAACCCAGAACTAACCCTCCATCAGCAGCTCAACACCCTATTCTTTGCTTCTTGCTGACGGTTTGCATGAATATTGAATACTCTGCTGCCATGAGCACTTCGACCTTGGCAACACTCACTCGACAAGCTCTGGACACTAACTGTAGCTCTGCTTCATGCCTCCCTCACCGGAACAGGATTTTCGTGTTTAACCTGGAAAAGATCTCGGAAATCTCGGGTTCTCCGTCACACCAGACACTAGAATCTTGAAGAAAGAACCTCATTCTGTCCTCCGATAGGCACGCCGTTAAACATCCGGTCACGGTCCTTTTGCATGTCCGTCGATCATAATACTTGTAGAATGCTGAGAGCCCCTGTAGCATCCCCAGTAGCAGTGAAGAAAACAGTATAGTGGCACTTATATACCCCATATGTGACTCGATCTGATAACATGTCATGGCAGCACCCCTCAAATCCGGCACTGGAGACCCCATGAGCTTGCACTCGTTCAGACTAGTAGCCGCCGAAACTCGGTGCCAAGTGTAGACTAGCAGAGACGGCCCAAAATAATGCCGAAGATTGATTCGATTTCGCCTAATATCCCGTGGTTCATGCCTAGATGTGACCAGAGGTCACCAAACATACAGCTTGACAAGGCCATTGTATACATCAAATATAGCTTAGCCGAGTGATGGCTGGAGACAGTGCTCCTTGCGAGATCCACAGCAGATCCGGCGCGTTAGGTAAACTTTGTTATTAGCCATGAGTCTAATGATGTAGTTGTTGTTGTCCTGGTAATAAACCTCCGGGCTTGTTATAGGGGCACTGCTGGACAGCCGACCTGCTTCATAGGAATACAGTTCGCCACGAACACTCGCAACAACTACACTGTACAAACTTGGACATGAGGTCTTTGTTACACTCTTGGCCTCAATTGCTGCTACTCAGACATGCAGGCTGTGCGTACCTTACAGCGGAGGTCAGACAGCACTAGGCTTGAAGAACTTGGCAGCCAATGTAGAGGCGGTGGCAACGTCCAGCAAGAGCAGAAGCTTTGCTGAAAGAAGACGTCGTATTGCCATAAAGCGGTGAGTGGTAAATCATTCCGTGATCCGCCCTTGATACGACTGTTGATCAACTTGAGACGTGGTAGAGCGCTTGCCACCTGACGTCCGGGGTAAAGAAACACTCCCTCTCAACCCACCTCCGTTGAAGCTCCCGCCCTCTTTGCCAAAGCTGAGCAATAGGAGGACTTACTGGTAGCCCTATGAGACTAGCAAACTAGGTTGTACCTTGATGATTGCGGTCGTTTCTAGAGAGTTCCCGTCAAAGTTCTCACAGCCTCCACACCGGCAACAAGAGCGTCGATCCAGAGACAGATGCGACTCAGGCAACCCTGCTAGCGTATACAGGTATCTCGGGAAGATGCGAGAGAGAGTTTTCGGCAGGAAGAGGCTTTTAGCAATTGGCAATATTCAGCAAGGGTGACTGACGGTGGAGGACTTGATCAGTTTGCTGGGGCAAGGAGCTCGTGGCAGGCGAACTCAAACACAGCGCTCATTCGTTGGCCACAACATACCTTGCCAGAATATAGGTAGCTAGACTTTAGTATAGTTATCTTACGATGGCAAAAACGAACGTAATTCCTCACCGGTTCCTGGCCTGATATCGAGATGACATGTTTGATGCCAGGAGTGTCGATGGCCCCGCAACCCACAACTATCACCGAATGAGGCCTTGTTCGTACGTATGTACTCATGAGTTCAGGATACTGCGGAAACGCAGTCTTTCGATGAAACGTGACTAGTTCTCATAGTGGGACTGTCTTAGTCAAGCAACATGATCTGCTCATATACCAGGAACATCGGGAGGCGTCCCGGACGCTTCATTGCATAGAACATGCAAGGCGAAGTGGCCATAATCAACACCATCATCATATTGACCACATACGACCATAGGTAGTGGAAAATACGGGATCCCGTCCGCTCTCCCATAGTCAAGCCACTAACCGGCGGATTAGTAGTTGGGTCGGTGACGACCAGCGAATCCCCGCTGTTGTATGTCCTTTTTGCTGGGAGCGTGTCTTTGATTTCTTGTTTTCGGGCAAGTATCGTCTTTTGCTCACGGCTGGGGCGAACACG